GCAATCTCTGACAATCTCTGTGTCTCAGTTTCTTGTAAATCTGTAAAATGAAGATACTACCAAACCTACCCCCTATGGTTTCTGTGAGTTAACACTTGTAAAATAATTAGAATATGTCAGACATTGGACGGCCACTCGACAAGTGTTTGTTAATGAAGCTATGAACGGTGATGGTTAGCTAGATAGCCCCCAATTGTTCATCACTGAAGAAATCCAAAGCAGTACCTTTGTGTGGACAGATACCCAGCTTTCATGGGGCTGATATTCTGGAAACAATAGTATCCAGTTTTATGTAACCACTCCCTGCCCTGCAAGCAACCCTATGACCTTCCATGCGGGTACCATTCTGACTCAGAAATGAAAGTTCAGCTTTTCAATCGTCTTTCACGCCCTGTTTCACCTGCCATTCCTCTCCACAGCAACCAACACAACCTGTAACACAGGATGGGATGGGCTGCCACCCTCAGCCAGCTCCTCTTACTCTTTACCTCATGACACGTGACTCCTTAAACGCACTTCTGAGAGAACAGCCGGGTGAAGTTTAACAGGAAGATGAAGAGATGGCGGTCACAGTCAAGGGAAGAAAGGAGTTTAACAGCAATGATGGAGCACTTGGGAGGTAAATCTGTCCCCACTAATCCCTAGTCATTCACAGTGTGACCAGACAAACCCGCCGGACCACCTGCCAGAGACTCTGTCCACCAAACTTGAGGAGATGTATGGAAAAGGAAAAAAGCCCAAACCTCAGTAAGAAAAAGTATTCCCAAGTCGATTCTGCCAAACCACATATCTATTTTCACTCTTAAGAAACTACATCATCATCATTCTCTCGGTAAGGAGACTGAGTACCAAACTCATATATATATACTAACGAAATCGGATTATGGCTCTCTACAATAAACGCTCGAGACTCACAAATAAAAAAATCGACAGACAGATCTAGAGAGCGGAGCCATCCTATACTCATGTAGCGTGAGTGCACGTGCTTATCGAGGGCACTAACGTGCACTAGTGAGCCCTTCATGCCTCCCTCATGGCAGGCCCAAAGAACGACATGAAGCGCGTAACCTCCACTCCTCCCATCCCCCATAGATGCCCATCCTACTAATATATCCCTCCTCCTGTCAAGCGTTTCCAGGACCCTCAGCTTCCTTTGGCTGTTTTTATTCACCTTGTGCAATAGATATATATATCGCTGAGCTATATTCTTACCCACACTGCGATTACTCTCATGGGACTCGTACCTCGCTCCAGTTTTTATTCACGTGTCTATAAAAAAACACAGTGGATACACCTGTCACGACACCCAACACACAAGTGCCATGTAAGCTCAGCGCGAGTGTGTTAGCAGCCATTAATTCGGGTCCCACCCTAAAGTTCGTGTTGGGCAGTCACCCACTTCACTTCACCCACATGGTTCTTTCTCACATGCTATCTCCCACCTGCTCTAGAAGGCTGTGCACTTTTTTATGTTTTACTCATTTATTTTCTGGCTGAAAAACCAAGCACCTCACCCGTGACAGGCAAGTGCTCTGTCACTTGAGCTTATATGCGTATCTGAGTAGACACTCTCTCAATACTATTCATAAATAGTACAATCATAATTGTACTCTCTGTCAGCGTGTGAAGCCAACCAACCACTTGCTACCTTGAACTCCGAGGAGCCCACTTTAGGTCACGACGAGGATTAGGATTGTCCACAGCCAGTTCCTGGAGGTGGAAGACAGGCAACAGTGGGGAGCTTCACCAATTCTAACCTTGCTTCCTGGATTTAAACAACTCACTTGCTCCATTTCTCCTCTGCAGAGTGAATACACTGCTGTGACTCATAAGGATGGAGTGAAGATGGCATCCATGTAGAGCAATGTAGTAATGTGCAGTGTGTTTTACAGTGAGGACACCTTCCCCAACTCTCTCCAGCATTGCTCCAGGACTCTGTCTGTCCTCCCTCTGGCCTTCCAGAACTCAGCCAGGCCTGAACCAACAAGTCTCACAGCCACTCCCAAACTCAGCAAAACCAGAGAAAGGTTAAGAAACAGGATTGACTGGTTCCACCCTTCCTTGCCCATTCCTAATCTCTAGATTCCCCAGGGGCCTGGCACCCCACCCACCTACCAACACCCTCCTGCTGTACCAATTATGCCTCTTACACACTCCTCACACTCTAGTCATCAACTTCATTCATCTTCCCAAAACACCCTCCTACCAATTAAATATGATTCAGCACACTTACCTGTTAGGGACTGAACATACAAATGGAAAATGGCCAGACTATATAAAAAGTACAACTCAGGTGGGGGCTGGTTGTTCGTGCCTATAATTTTAGTTACTTGGGAGGCTGAGATCAGGAGGATTGTGGTTCAAGGCCAGCCCAGGCAAACAGTTTGAGAGTCAACCATCTCCAAAATAACTAGAGCAAAATGGACTGGATGTGTGCCCCAAACGATGGAGCAACTGCTATGAAAGCTCGAAGTCCTGAGTTCAAACCCCAGTCCCACCACAAATAAACAAATAAAAATACAACTCTGATGTCAGATATGGTGGCACATGCCTGTGATCCCAGCACTTGGGAGGCTGAGCTAGAAGATTTCCAAGGTCAGCCTTAGCTACATAGTGAGATCTTGTATCAAAAAAAAGCCTCTGACCCACACACTGCAGCTAACAGTTTAGGAACTCAAACCACAACCTCTGTAGCAATCATCCCAGAACAGTCAGGACTTAAAAATAGCCAGCTTCCCTAATTTTTGCACCCCGCCCCTGCCCTTCCAACTTAAATCAACCAGAGAAAGTCAAATAAGCCCCTCATAGGCTGTTGGCTTTCCTGCAGGAGCCTGTCTCAGAGTCTGAGCCCAACACAAGTGACAGCTGTCTCCCTTGCTACTGCCAGCTCTGAATCAACAGCCTGAGTGTGTTCTTCTTTGGGTGGTCTTTATTTAGTTCCACTCACATTCCTAACTCAAGCCACAACCCCCACCCTCAGGAGCTAATGCACAATCACACTGCCACACAGTGCAATGAGGCGTGGGAGGAGTTAGTGCTGGTGCCACAGAGAGAGGTGGACAGCACTGACTGGCTTCCCAGAAGGGAGGATGACCGCGCTGGTTTTGAAATATGAACAGCACGCGGTGTGGCTGACTGCAGGAGGAAACGGCAGTTCTCTACTTTTCTCCTTCCCTCCCCTTCCTGAGGCTGACTTCTCCTAATTATAGTCCAGCTCTACTTGGGCTCTGTGAAGTGGTTCATTTAGTTTTGCATTTTCAACATCTCTCCCTCCCTACTGAATAATGCCTCTCGATCTAAAAGGTGCTTTCTTGAGCTGGGGATGTAGCTTAGTGGTCGAGTGTTTGCCTAGCATGCACGAGGCCATGGGTTCAATCCCCATGCCACATAATAACAGTAATAATAATAATAAATGTGCTTTCCTACCCTGCAAAATCTCACACTGACCTGGCCAGTCCAACTGTACGGTTTCTTTGCCTTTTACCTTCTTTGAAGAGGACTTTGTAGTTGGTCTCTGCTCTTGCTCTAGTGCCCCCTCCGCCTGCCTCTCACCTTCACTGTTCTGTTACCTATAGGTTACCCCTGACAGGAGTCGCAAGTCCAAAGGCTTTTCTCAGTCTCACCCCTGGGCCTCTCCTCCTCTGGCTTCCTCAAACCACACTAGCCCAGTCCTCCTACCCATCTGGGGGCTGCTTCTTTACCCCTTGCTTGCACATACCATCTAAGCTTGGTTTGCCCCAGAATCTGTCCTTGAGCTGTACTATTTGGCACACACCTGCAAACCCAGCCCTTGGGAAGCTGAGGCAGGAAGATCATGAGCTGCACACTTGGATAGGCTGCCTCAAAAAAAGAGAAAATGGTCCCTTCAGAAGGTAGAGCCATCCAGAGCAACACCCACAAGTGGTGGTAAAAGTCCCAGGGACAGGGACAGAGAATTTGGGAGGAGAGGAATCCCAGCTACCATGTCCACTCAGTTCTCCTCACATGGAGATTCCCTCCACTTCCAGTTCAGTGCCTGCTTTCATTAAGGAAACAGGTGGTGGATGGGGGGTGTCCTTATAGACACTCTTCTTGTCACTCTCTGTCCAAAACCCCACAATGGCTTCCAAGGGCTTCCTGCCACCCAGGAACAACAGCTAAATCCAACCAGCTTGGTCTGCCAATCATGGCACTCTCTTTTTGGGTGAAATCCAGTCTGCTTCTCCATCCCCATTTTCCACCTATCTCCTACCTGCCAAACCGAGCTACAGGCCCCTCCCTTCGGTGCCTCACTGTGCTGTCCAGCGTTATTCCCCTTTCTGGACTCACCATCACACCCCTTGGTAGACCTCATTTTCCTGAACTCAAATATTACTACCGGTCCTTGATGGCCTAGCTAACGCCTCCCTCCAGATAGACATAACCTTCCCTCCTCTGGCCACCTACACAGCAGTTATGTCATTCTGCCTTGTATTGCAGTGATGCGAGTGTCACCTCCCTGACTTGTCTGAGTCCTGTGTGAGGTAACTCCCACCACGCTCCACGTTGTAGAGGAGGAAAAACAACACGTACTCGAGGTGGATCATTTGCTTGTCCCCTCCAGACTGTGAGCTGAAAGAGGGCCAAAGCTGCACGCGTCTATCCAACGCGTGAATGAATGCGTGACTTCCAGTCCAGTAAACTTCCCTCCACTTCTTTCTCCACCCGGGTCTTCATAGAAGTGCCAAAATTAAAGGTAGAGGGAAAAATCGCTCCAGATCAAAAATGCAGTGCCAAAGCCACCGCAGAGCCGGAAGCGTGGCGGTGCTGCCACCGATTGCCCTCCCTCGCCTCCCCCGCCCGGCGCAGCTCCCCGCAGGCGGCGCTCGCCCAGCCCCCACCCCGGCACGGTCCCCGCGGGTCACCTGGAACCCGCGTCCCTTGGTGACCCTGGGGCAGGGGCGGGGGCTCCGCCTGCGCGATCCCAAAAACTCTGGAGCTGCGGCACCTGGGCTCCCCGTGTCCCCGGGCCCCGCACTCACCGTCAGCGAGCGGTGCTCCGGTGGCGCCGTGGCCCAGGCCGAGCAGCAGCAGGAGCGGCAGCAGGCGGCCAGGCAGGCGGCCCTCGCCCCGGGGCCCCCGGCCCATGCCACCGCCCCGCGTCCCTCCCCGCGCGCCGCCACTCCGCGAGGCCCTGCAGGCGCCCAGATAAGGCGGCGGGCGCGCGGGGAGGGGTCGGCGCTGCGGCTTCCGGCGACACGGGGCCGGGGTCCCCGGGGACGGGTCGGCGCTGCGGCTTCCGGCGACACGGGGCGCCCGGGGTCCCCGGGGACGGGGAGGAGGGAACGCGGGCCTGGCCCCCACCCCCTTCGACGCCCATTCGTCACCACGCGCACCCGGGGCTCGCATTCGGACAGGGGACCCCGACACTAAGCAGATAATGAGTGACACACGCTGAAGGACAGGCCTCGACTGTGCTGGGGAGAACGCCTGTTAATGCACGGGGGACCCCAGCAGGCCTGGGGCTCAGGGAGGAAACCCCTTGGGGGAGGGCCACAAGGAAAAACACTCTTGGAGGACGTGACAGCTGGGATGAGGTGGTCGCAGCTCCAAGGGAGAGGGGAGAGGGCGGGAAGCCACGGGGCCCAGGCCACCCAGGCGAGAGGTCACCAGATGACAGGGCCGTTTGTGATGGAGAGGGGAGAGCTGGCAAGGAGTTCCCGGTGCTCCAAGGACACCCAGCTTGGGACGTTAGAGGGGATCAATAAACCACGTAAAAGATGAGGAAGACATGAGGAGGGGTCTAAGTGGTGAGAAAGGCAGTGCGAAGGGACAGGGACCAGGAGTGTCCTCCTTGGTGTGTGGGGGGAACAGATGGCTGGAGAGAGACAGCAGACTGCAGAGGTAATCCTCCTGTGCCAAGTAAGGGAGGCTGCTGAGAAACCCACAGAGGGTCGGTCACTCCATCAGGGGAGGCTCTGTGTCTGCTCTGTGGGGTTGGGGTCCAGCAGGGAGGAGGGGTCCAGCCCAGAGCTGCCTCAGGAATCCCTGCGACAGAAGACATGGGGCTGGGGGAAGGGGACACACATGCCCTTATGGACACTGTCAAATGAATATGGAGAGAAGTGGGAAATGAGAGGTGTTGGAGGGAAGGGGGTCCACTGGATTTTATGATTAGTAGAATGTTCAGGAAATTCCAGATGTCACTTAGATTTCTGGTTTGGGCAACTGGGTGGACAGTGGTGGTAGCCACCAAGATAGACATCCAAGAGGAGTTGTCTGTTGGGGTGGAGGGCGGCTGCAGGGGACAAGACAGAAGATCCACTGTGAAGGGTTGGAGCTTGTGATGTCTGGGGTGCCCACTACTGCACCCCCTTCCTCCTTGTTTTCTCTACTGTGAACTTGCCCTAAAGCTAACCACAGGCGAACACACCCATATAAGGCTGAACTTGTTGTACGACCTTAGGAAGAAGCCGTTAAAAATAAACACTCTTTGGTAGCAGGCTTTCTTGCAGATTATTTTTGGTCAACAAAGATAGAGGCCTGCTTTGGAAAGTAGCAGACCTTCAGTGTGGGTGTTGCAGTGTCTCTAGTACTTAGGCAAAATCTTTGGTTAAGCCCAGCTCTCCACAAACTTTGAAAGCACATAATTGTTTCAATAAATATACCATTCATTTGAGACATTTTTAACCAACCTATGTCTCCATACCTTCCATGCCCCTCTGCAAAATAAATAAATTTAGATATGTGTATGTATATAGAGATTTTTTGCAAACTTGTGATGTCAGGAAAAACTGTCCAAAACTTGGAAATAGATGAGAAAGATTACTGGGTGTCCTTTCCATGGGGTGTCGGGTTGCGTGCTGTTTGGAAGACTGTCAGGGGATTGTCTGGTTCCAAAGTGTTAACACTTCATGGACTTCCTGTCAACTAGGCTGTTTAATGACTCATGAAGTTCACTTTTAGGAAACTGAGGCAGACGATTCTTGTCCATAGCAATGAAAATGAATGTTCTCCGGGGGAAATACAGGTGATTTCTGCCAGGCAAAAATAAGAAACTCAACCAGGTATGGTGTTACAGATCTGTAATCCCAGCACTAGGGAGACTTAGGCAAGAGGATCATGAGTTTCAGGCAGCTTTACTATTCAGATCCTGCTCAAAAGAAAAAAAAAAAAAAACAGTAAGCCCAGCACCGGTGATTCACATCTGTAATCCCAGCTATTCAGGAAGCAGGGATCAGAAGGATCAAGGTTAGAGACCAATCCAGGCAAAAAAAAAAAAAAGAGAGAGAGAGAGAGAGAGACCCTATCTCAAAATATTCAACCCAAAAAGGGATTGTGAAGTGGCTCAAGTGGTAGAGCGTGAGGGCCTGAGTTCAAACTGCAAACCCCAGAACCCTTCCCTCAAAAAAAAAATAAAGAAAAGAAAAAGGATCAAGCATTGTGACTCACTTTGGTAAACCCAGCTACTCTTAAGGTGGAGATCAGGAAGATCTTCATTTGAGGCCAGCCTGGGCAAAAGGTTGGGGAGACCCCATCTCACCCAATAAGCTGCTAGCAGAGTGCTGGGGAATATCTAGCCTTCCAACTACTGGAGGCTGTACTCAGGTGGGCTCATGGTCTAGGCTGGCCCAGACCAAAAAAACCTAAAAAGCAAAAAGAACTGGAGGTGTGGCTCAGGTGGCCGAGTGTCAGAGTGCTCGCCTAACAAGCACAAAACCCTGAGTTCAAACCCCAGTATCACCACTAAAATGTCCGATGACATTAGCTAGTTAACCAGTTTGACATCTGTCAGCAAATTCATTTGATCATTCATAACTTCAAATTTTCCTTTGACTCTTCCTATCTTTCTAGTTCTTCTTTGAAATCAGTATCTTATTAAGTCCTTCATTAATTAATTAGCTTAACAGAATCTTGGATAGGTTTTAATTTTATGTTTGTGTGAGTCATGTTTTTAATTTTTTGAAAATTATACTTTAGCATAATCCATGGTTACTCTGTCTTCTATAGTAGATTGACTTTTTTTTCTTTTATGGTACTGGAATTTACCTTTGTAACAAGTAACCGAGTCTCCGCCAATGGCAGTGGCTGAGCTTCAGTCAGTTGCTTGGCAAGTGGCCAAGTCTTCATGCCTTGTCTGCATAAGGCAGACCTCCTGCTGGGACCAATCCAGCTGACTCTGTACCTCACTTCCCTTTTCTGATCCATTGCTGGTCAGCCACTGGCAGCTCTGGAGTCTCACTAAACCTCTTCTAGTTCTAGAGCTGCCCAATTTATGGTTCTTTACTTATTTAAACTCTGTTAGGAGCCAGGTGCCAGTGGCTCACGCCTATAATCCTAGCTACTCAGGAGGTAGATATCAAGAGGATTGAGGTTCAAAACCAGCTTGGGCAAATAGTTTTCGGGACCCTATCTTGAAAAATCCCATCACAAAAAAGGGCTGGTGGAGTGGCTCAAGCAGCAAGAGCACCTGCCTAGCAAGTGTGATGCTCTGAGTTCAAACATCAGTTCTGCCAAAAAAGAAAAAAAAAACACACATTAAATTTATCTAAAGTTTTTCTTTTAATTGTGTGTGGAGGGGAAATCCCACACATCTGTGAGCAGATGTGTTGAGCGTGAAGGTATAAAAGGAAAAAAAAATCTAGGATTTTTTTTCCTCCTTTTATAGATACACAATTAATATACAGCGGTGATCTCTACCTCATGAGTAGCTGGGATTACAGGCACGAGCCACTGATACCTGGCAACAATAGAATCTTTACTGTGAAGCAGCCAGGGTTGAGGGTCAGTTCCCTTTGAAGAGGTCATGCAACCCTCTCCAGCAGATGGTCTTTTCCTTAAGGCTTGAAGAAAGCAGAGCAGATGTACCTCTGAGGCACATCCACAGTCCTGCAACAGTGCTGTTAAACAAGAAAATGGGTCATTAATGAACCAGGAAGATTTGAAGAATACACTGCATTAGGAAAAGCCAAGTGTCAGTGGCTCACGCCTGTAATCCTAGCTACTCAGGAGGCAGAGATCAGGAGGATCACGGTTCAAAGCCAGTCCAGGCAAATAGTTCATGAGAACTATTTGTGAAAAACCCTTCACAAAAAAGGACTGATGGAGTGGCTTGAGGTGTAGTTCAAACCCCACAAATGATAATAATACATGTAACGTAAAGAATATGCACTTCAAGTTGTTATTTGTATTTAGTAATATAACGTGCAGATTTTATAATATTCCAAATTTTAATTCGGATCCACCTCTTGAAGAAAATACAAAACACACTTCCCACCAGCTTCAAAGCGGTTTCTTTGGTTCCTGTCTACACATTGTTCACTACAATTGACTCCTTCAGCCACACAAACACCAGTTTCTTGACTTCACAAGAAAAACTCCCACACTATTAAGTTCCCACACTATTTTAAAAAATCACTTTAACTTCCTTTTTTGGGAGGTCCTGGAATTTGAAGTCAAGTTTTCCCACTTGCAAGACAGGTGCTCTACCACTTGAGCCACACCTTCCACCCTTGTTGCTCTGGTTATTTTGGAGATGGGTCTTGATTTTTGCCCAGGCCCAGCCTGGACCACTGTCATCCTATTTTACACTTTCTACAGTTGCTGGGATGCCAGGTGCATGCCACTATGCCCAGCTTTTTTCTTTGGAGATGAGGTCTCACAAAAAAAATTTTTTTCACCCTAGCTGCTTGGGAACCTTGGTCCTCCTGATCTCAGCCTCCCAAGTAGCTAGGATTACAGACATGAGCCACCAGCATTCAGTTTTTAACTTTACTTTAAAAAAATTTTTTATACTAATTTACTTATCAGAAGACCTTCATGTGTAAAATATTTCTATCCCACTTAAAAGATGGAGCTTACTCTCCAATATCTGAAGTCATCATAATGGATTGAGAACAGGTATATGTGGTCAAGAGAGCCTCCCGAAGAGATCCCTTCCAGAATAAAATTGTTATCCTCCTCTTGGAAGCCCAGGAAGGGAAGTTTCTGATAGTTCTAGAATTGCCAGTTGTTCTATCTCCCGTCATCAAAGGTTAAGAAATATTGAAGCCTATCTTAACACATCTCACTACATAATTAAAACATTCAATTACAATAAATGTATACACCCATAATCACTGCTGCATTGTTCACAATAGCCAAGAGGCAGAAGGAAACCTGGATCTACTGAGAAATGAATGTGTAAGCAAATGTAGTTTATACCTATCATGGACTACTACTCAGACTTAAAAAGGAAGGAAATGTTGACACATGCTACAAACTTGAAACATTATACTGAATTTAAAAGGCCTGGAATCCTCCCTACTCATGGGGCAGAGGTCAGGAAGATCTCAGTTCAAAGCCTGCCTGGGAAAATAGTTCTCAAGACCCTATCTTGAAAAGCACCCATCATCTTCCTAGCAAGTGTG